ATATATATATATATATATATATATAAAAGTAATTAAAAGAAAATCAGGTGACTAGTGGTGGTGATGATATATAGAAGTTGTCAATCACTTTGTTAATTTATTAATCGCACGCCGAAGCAGTTGCTGGATTGAAGATTGGTTCTTTCTTCTACTTATGGCCAAATTGGATTTCATCGGACCAACCACAAGTTGATTAATCTGTCTAACACTTATCATTACACAAATATAATATATAAAGATGATATTCTTACAATATACATATATATATATATATATATTATTTTACGATATGATGCATATAGAACAAGTTGGTTGATTATTTCTCATGCGTTCTTTTTTTTGTTATGACAATCAATGACAAAAATTGAGGTATAATACTAATTAAGAGAGAGATCTTTTGTTCTTAAATTAAATGGATAGCGAAACCAATCATTTGTTCCCGCATATTTTACAATTTTAGGTTAACAAAAATAACATTTCTTCTATATATGCGCGTGTAATCCAACAACATGCACAGACGAGTCATGTGGCATACAATCTCTCTCTCTCTCTCTCTCTCTCTCTCTCTCTCTCTCCCGTTGAGTGGACTGCATGGTCAAAAATGTCATGAGACAAGTGAAGACCCTTGTTTCTTTTCTTGTCTTTAGTTCTCTCATGTGCTTTGGCTATCATTTTATTTTTCCTTTTCCAAAAAGAAATTCCAATAAATCTCACAAAATCTTATAGATTCCAATGACAATCAAATCCATATTTTCACTTCAATATCTAACAAAATCAAAGCATGGGATTTTATGATGTTTACTTTTAGAGCTGATGATATTCAACTGCACTACATGAGAACCCTAATTACTCACTTAAATCCTGATGAATTAATTGCTAATTAACAGTGTTTCACTTTCAATGTACCTCCAATATAATATCACCATTAAATACCACGTTATAAAAATGCATTACCATAATACCAGTAATGATATATGAAAGTTTACAAAAAAAAAGGAGCATCACAAAAAAAAAAATCAACTTTTTAAATTTGGTAAATAAATATATGAACTTTAATTTTTGTATAAAAACACACAAATTTTGAATTTTTTCGTATAAATCCACGCAAGTTTATATAAAAATAAACAAACTTTAAAATGTTTCACACACACACATACAAAAAACCCAATTGAGCAATTGAGTTTAGTATTTTTATAGGTTTATGAAAAAAAATTAAAGTTTTTATATTTTTATACAAAATTAGAAGTTCATATATTTATTTATCAATTTTAAAAATTTTATGTTTTTTGTCATATTCCCAAAAAAATATAATATCAGGGTAAAAGAAACACTATTATCCCTTGTTTGCATTATCACGAACATCTAGTTTATTGATCATATAATCTACACACTCAATATATGCGTATTTTTAAATTATAGATTTTATCCGTAAAATAAATTATTTTGTAGAGTTTTTAATAATATTTTACGTTGTAGATTTAAAGAAATATTCAAAAAAAAAAAACACTAAACACAAAACTAGGCTACTACAACATGAAGTTAAAGTAAAAAACTTCATGTTAAGACAAAATTCTGAGCAACAGTAAAAAAACTAAAGAAAATAAATAATGACATCCTAACGAAGCATATAAAGAACAATATTAGATAAAACCATCATTTATACAAAAATAAAAAATAAATCTTCAAACATTTTAAATAGTTAATAATTAAGTAGCATTATATTTAATTCTAAAAAATTGATCTTAACTACTTTTTAAAAAAATATTTATTGATAGTTAAAGTTATATGCATTTACATAAAAAAAACTATACTATTATATACCAACGGAATAAATATTTCGTTTTCTGTATTATCAAAAGAAAAAAGATAATTTTATAATTTTATAAATTTTCTGGTTTTATTCATGTTAGTAATTAATTTACATTACATATCTATATGAATGTATAGAAAAAGTCTTCTTTGATCATAAATAATATGGCCTCTGTAGTCGATAAAATAATTTTTTTACGATTTAAGAACATAAAATTTCAATTTATGTTTCAAATATCTTGTTGACATTATGTAAAGAACTAACAACAAATAAGGTTTTTAACATTTAACAAATAAACGAAAATAAAATTGATATATTAAATTATGCTTTCAATATGAATTTAAAACATTTAATATCCGAATTTGAAAACTACCATCCCAAAAATCCGATCTCTAAAGGTTTCTAATTAGTTGTTGTTTCATTGGAAGATCAATTAGGTTTTTAAATATTGAATAAATTAAGTTAGTTAACCCATAAAGTTAGAAATCATTCGAATATCATGACGCACTATTATAACCCATTTAATATGGATAATATATATATATATATATATATATAGTAGAGAGATTGTAAAAGGAGACATAAACAGTGCAATACCTAGTATTATACATTTGGGCTTTTTGACGTAACTTTACATGTTGTGTACAACTTGCAATATACCCTTTGGAGTTTTTAACAGTTTGTATTTTTTTCCTTAAAATTTTCAATCCTTTTAACCGTTTTTTTTTTCATCTTCAAAAAAGAAACTTTCCTCACTTGTAATTATCATCGGTAAAATCCGTTAACTTCTTCTTCCTCAATTTATTTATTTTAAGAAATTTGCTTAATACTTCATGTTTTTTTTAATCACTATTTTATTGGAAAAAGATTCGCTGATTCACGTTTTTCAACAAAATATTCATATATTTCAATTACAAATAAAATGGACATTTCGACTAGGATAATATAAACTAAACTGGGTAATACATAATTATAAAATTAAATTTAAAACCAATTTTTCAATATTTTTCTAAAACTAAATTAATAATTTAGAATAGATATAAATTAAATATCAAAATAACAACAACAATAACAACAACAACAATAATAATAATAATAATAATAGTAAAGTAAATAGATTTTCCTAAAAAATAAATATTTTTAATAAAGTTTCCATACAAATAAATTTAGAAAAAAAATTAAAATTGAATGTGATGGTACTTAAAAAACCACCAGGAAACTAAATTTGAAATTTGTAAACAAAATGTCAGTTTGTTCCAATAGCATAATTTCAATCATATGTCTTGATAATATTTTTAAAAAATAAATATTTTTAAATATCAAAATAACAACAACAACAATAATAATAATAGTAAAGTAAATAGATTTCCTAAAAAATAAATATTTTTAATAAAGTTCCCATACAAATAAATTTAGAAAAAAAATTAAAAATGAATGAGATGGTATTTACAAAACCACTAGAAAACTAAATTTGAAATTTGTAAAAAAAATGTCAATTTATTAATAACAACGTCTCATACTCTCGTCTCGAATTCGAACCTCAAGTAGGAAAAGAGAACATAATTTCGATCATATGTTTTACTTTTGTTCTCAAAATTAGTTTGGATTTCAGTTCAGAAATACTCTGGTTATCCAGAAGAAAACAAGTTCTTGTATTTTTAAGATTAGAAAAAAAATTGATGATTATGGACATTTATTTACTCGATGTTATTTATTCCAGAGATATCAACGAGTTTTCCTCCCTCTCTCTCTCTCCCTCCCTCCCAGTGGCAGCAGTTGCGTTGCATCTGAATCAAAAGCAATGATTGAACTCAAATCAAATCTACCACTTATTCCCCTCATAAGATATTTGCTATTAATTTTCCCATAATGCCCATATACTGAGACGTTGGTTGCGATTATCCAAAACCAAAAAGGTAAGGGTAATTTCGGAAATCTGACTTTACGACAAAAGGACAAAACCCTAAAGTAACGGGCTTAGGTCTCGCACGGAAGAGTACTTGGACATAGCTTGTCTTCCAATAACAATTGAAATTGAATTCTGGCACCCAAAGCAAACAATAGAATGGAATCTGTCATAAACTAATTTTATATTCGACATTTTATTTATTTATATAATAAAATGATTATTAGTATTGAAGCACCAAGATATGTAATTGAAATGATCATAGTGATAACCATTTTCATTGTCTGAATATAAAAGTTGCGAGGGTGGACAATTTAATGAGTAAAAAAAACCCATTGTGAAAATCTTGCAAATAATTCATTGTCCGAATACTTATAGATTGCTTTAGTAATACTTTTTTAAACTTTTATTGATGTTTATTAAATATACATAAACTTTTATACATGACAGAATAATAATCGACGAAAATAATAACTAATATTATTATTATTATGATGGGTATGATGATGATGATGTTGAGCGCATTATAGTATCATGGGTGGGTCATTGACTAACGAGCACGCCTGATTACTAGCGCACCTATAATTTAACCTGTTAACTCAAGCATATGAACATCAAAAGAATAACTTTCAAGTTCATAATTACAAAATAGCCTCTATTTAAATTGCAATTGTAATGTCCATAAAAGTCTTAGAATTTTTTTTTAACCTAGAAATTAGTTTGATAAGCATAGAATATGGAGACAATACTGTATTGGTCTTTTCCATGTGTTACATTGTCATTATATATATATATATATATATATATATATGAAGTAACTTAAATTAACTAGCTCGTTAATAATATAAAAATATCATTAAGTATATATATATATATATATTCAAAGAATAACTTCAAGATGCATGGATTCTGTTCGATCGAAAGATCCAGATATATCCATGTTATAAAATACTGAAAATTTTGAATGTGCGTGTATAAAATTAATATAAAAAAGAATTCACGCATCACGAACAATGTCACATCGAATGTTAAACTTGTCGATTAATCCTACCAAATAATTATAGAAGATATTATTCTTAGAATATTATCATTAATATTGTTATGATTTATCCTAGATATTATGCCTAGAATATTCTATTATATTTTGCTATATATTATGATGTATTCTTCCCATTATCTATAATAGAAAAACATTTTCCTATTATGATATCAGAGCTTCGGTTTTTGCTCTAATTTTTTTTTTCTCTTCTCATCAATAATGTTGGTCGAATCCGAAAGCGACGATGAAGATGACAACGATATACTAAATCCAATAGTATCATCGTCTTGAGTATCGTTTTAAATTTATTTTGCCTTTTTTTTCTTTTTTTTTCCCCGACGGCGGTGTTCATCACCGTCAACCCTAGTCGATGTGCTATTTTTTTTACGACGATGTTCGTTTATCGACGTCAACCCTAGCCGATGTGCTACTTTTTTTTTCTCTGACGACGTTCGTTTATCGATCTCAACCCTAGCCGTTGTGAGCTCTTTAAACATGGCTATTAGCCTCTTTCGATTGGAAAACTCCGATCGTCGATCCACGTATTTGCGTCACTTATTTTTATTTTCTTCTCTTGTCCCGCTGCTAGACTATCACGCATTATGCGTCGCGCTTTTGCGCCTTTTTTTTTTCCTTTTTTTCTCCGGCCTAGCCGCTATACACATCGCAATTTTTTTTGCGATGCCGACCTCATTGTCGCGCAACCCAACTCGCGCATATGCGCTGCACATCCGTGCCACATCAGCCTCTGAGAATACAACTCTCAAGCTCTTCAAACGTTATCAAACAACACCAACTCAAGTCTGGACTACCCCACCACATGGAAGATGATTCGTTTAATACGATCACAATTTCAGTTTTCAGTTTTTATGTAACAAGATTGAATTCATCATAGATAATTCATCTTGAGGGGTATATAGAAAGATATTATTGTTAGAATATTATCATTAATATTGTTATGATTTACCCTAGATATTATGCCTAGAATATTCTATTATATTTTGCTATATATTATGATGTATTCTTCCCATTATCTATAATAGAAAAACATTTTCTTATTAATAATATTATAATTGGATTGATGTTTTTCGTTATAGTATATGATTTATTGAGTAAATTCCAATAGTACTAGAATTATGGGACATTTTTGTACCCACCATAGCATTATTAGTGGTATCAGTACAAATAGAAAGTGTATACATTATTTTCCTATACGAGTCAACTTTTGAAAGTGTACTTTGGTAATACACGCACACATATATTACACGCACACATATATTATTATTATTATTATCAGTACTGTAAAAGTAATTATATAATAAATGTACTTTGGTAATGGTGATGGTAAGATGATTAACCGTTAATTAGAGAGTATTTAGCGGATGAACATTGATTAATGATCACTTTATGATCTATATATATATATATATGCATACATATACATACAATATACAAATATATACACGTACATACAAAAAATATATATACATATAAATTCATACACATATATACACACACATATACATACAAACACACATATACATATAATTTATATATACATATACACATACACATATACATATATATATATATGCGTACACACACATACATACATGCATATATACATACATATCATACAAACACATACATATACATAAGTACATAAATTACCAAAAAAAATGTTTAGTATTATGTTTGATATTATTTGATTTTACTAATTAATATTTTTTAAAATAGATTTTTAATATTAAAATTAATTTTATTAAAAAATAAATTAAATTGATAAAAAAATTATATTTTAAAAATTATAACAAAAAATAAGTTAGAAGAGTATGTTTTTTTTTTGTTAACGGTAAATGTATATTAATTTAAACCTTTTACAACCAGAATTTAATCCAGAGTTTAAAGGTAAAAAACAACTCAGACATACTAAAGAAAACAAATATAACAATTAATAGCCATCAAAATGTTGAAACCATATTGATCGCAGCAAGGCATTGATTCGTTACGAACTCTAGTCTCAATGAAAGCTTCTCGGAAGTAGAGGACTACTTAAATTTTTTATTTCCCTTGCGAGTTTTACCGATTAAGGTAAAGTCAGTTGGGTCATGGAAAGTCTGGGCAATTGATCTTGAACGAAGGATACGCTGAGCTTCCTTAATCATCTCATTTTCATTATCAAATTGATATGCCGACTTACTTTCAACTTTGCTATCGGGCAAAGTAAATTTCGGTTGGTCATTAGAATGACCCGCTGCTCTTTCCGGTGAGATGATACAAAGATCAGACTGGAGAGCTGTTGGGTTAGATGTGTCTACCATTGTATCAATTGCTCTCTGCGGTGGAGAGAGGGAAGTCCCTGTTGTCGTATCGACAATAGCGGATGTGAGTGTCTGCAAGACAGGTGGTGAGATTACCTGTAAGGCAGGCGATATTCCGAACTTGCACCTATGAGGAGATGCAGGCGTATGAATTAGAGACTGAGTCGCATGTACTGAAGATTGCAGATGAGTAGGTTATTATCTCTGAATAAAAGGAATTATTAAAAATATTTGGAAGGACTGAAAGATATGTGAAAGTAACATCATAATCTAGATCTTATTAATATATATTTCAACGGGGAGATAGAGTAAATATCCAATATAAGCTGAAGATCTTGCATCCCTAAGAATATACACACGATTAAACATTTTACAACTTGTTTCTTGTCTCGTCCTTATCATCTCTCTTCATCCTCTCTCTCTCTCTCCCCCATTGTAGTATACTGGATTTAATGAGGATGTTATATTGACAAGTGACATGGAGATGAAGAGTTGGTCCAAAATAAACTGTGAAGGGGACAAAATCATGCAAAATGTGATTTGGAGAGGAGGGAAAGGCCAAAACACAAAAACATAGGGTGGGTGGCTAATGGCTATATAGCTATAGCCCTACATCACAAAAGCAAAAAAGAATTGTTATAGTTTTTTTAATAATAAATTTATAAAAAAAAAAACAAAATACCCCATCATCTTGGCTTTTAGTGCCAATGTATGAAACAAAAAAAATGGTATGTTTTTTCCTTTCTAGTGTAAGAAACACAAGGAGCAAAAGGGTTAGAATTCTTATTAAAAAAAAAGGTTAGAATTGAAATTTTGGACCAAATCCATAACCAATATTTTATTACGACATTTTTTTGTATATGTTTCTCTTGTACTTTTGTTGCTTTCTTCATCATCCATTAAATATGAAGCTTCATATATTTTTGGATAGTCGACTCATAAGAGATGTCGTACAACTCAACATTATATAAAAATTTCATGCAAATTATAATTATTATTATTGTAATCACACAACTTAGTTCCATTGACATTCCAAAAGGTATCGCCGTACCGAAAAAGGGTTTGGCACGCATGTATTTTTTTTTCTCTGTAACCAATGAAGTATATATAGTTAGACAGCACTGCCCTAATAATGCGTGTGTGTATATATATATGTGCGTTTATATACATATATACATCTATATATATGTGTGTATTTATATATACAGTTGGGCAGTTAGTCATGTACAAATTGTGCAAAGAAAAACTAATCGTGTCCAAATTGGACCACCTCTGTGTCTAGAAGACAATACAAAGCATATAAAATCGTTGGGAAAATAATAATATGATAAGAATCTATAGAAATTGTTTCCATGATCAAAAAAAGGTTTATCAAACTGTATTAAATAAACATGGGCCGTTATTTTAGATTGGGCTTCAATTATGGGCTTTCTACCCACTTTGCTCCACCACTTCACAAATATATAACATATTCCCGCACAAAAATTACATCGCCGAGGGAGAAAAGAAAAAAAAAACAAAAAAAGTTCTGTCACGTCAACCTTCCTCCGCCGCATCCGTCGGCAACTCGCGCCGGCAAATCGGACACGTGTTCCGAGTCATCAGCCTCGGTACAATACACTCCTTGTGGTAGTAATGGCCACAAGGAAGCTCACTCAGCTTCTCGCTCGCAACAAACTCCTCCAAACACACCGCGCAGATCGCCAGATCTCTCTCCCTCAGCTCCTCCGTTGTCAGCTCCGCTACCGGGAGCTCCTCCGAAACCATCGCCGGGGAGTTGAATCCCCTTGCAGGAGATGCAAAAACGCCGAAGAATCCGCTGAACACGTCGTCGTAGTAGCTGTACGTCTCGATGGGATCGCTCCGGGAGTCCAAGTAATTGAGGTAAGCGATGTAATCGCCGTCGATTTCGTCTCCGGTTTCCAAAAAATCTTCCGCCGGGTAATGTGAGCCGTCGATTTCGGCGGTGGTGAAATTAGGGCTTTGGGAAAGGGGAAGATGAAACTCCGCCATCGATGGGATTTCCTGTGGTGGATGGTTTTTGGCGCTGCTGGTGGGATTTCGCCTCCGTTTTTATAGTTTAGGAGAGACGAGGTCGGTGGATTGTTGACACGTGTACGGTAGAGATGTCTCTACTTACGGACCATAAAAAAGTAGTTATTTCATGCTGTTGAGAGATCCTGCCACGTGTTCGGATAAGGGACTCCAATCTGCTGCCACGTTAGAAATTTCAGACCGACATTGAAATTGAAAAATATAAAATTAAACGCCGTTGCCGGGGATCGAACCCGGGTCACCCGCGTGACAGGCGGGAATACTCACCACTATACTACAACGACATGTTTGTTTAGTTTAAAATTTATCAAATTCAAATATAAATCCCAAAATTATAAAAAAAATCATTTAATCGTATTTACAAAATTTTCGTTGCTTTTATAGATTTACGTTTACGCGATTTGAATTTGAGACTTACCTCCCATTTCACACTTTCACATTGGTCTCATTTGAGAATGACAGCTCCCAGTTTGAGTTGCCGGAAATGATAGTTTACGTTTTAGAAATTTCTAAAATTTCATTTATTTTCCTTATTTTTATCTCTAATAAAAATAATTAAATATAATATTTTTAAGTATAATCTAAATTCACATCTTCACAAGATTAAGAGCTAGACGGGTTTTGGTGACATAATGTCGGATATTGTTTTCCAACCCTTGCAACAACTTTGCTTATTATTCTATAAAATCGGATTTTAACATATGCTTGAAATAAAGTTTTCAGCACCGAAATCATGTATAATTCGGTTCACTGGATTTAAAATACAAACACGTATACTTCCTTTTGTTACTTTCCACACACCGAATCGGCTACGGCGATTTCCTTCAACACCGTCTCATGACCATCAACTCCTCGAGCTAACTGGCCTTGTTTGGTTACAGGTTCCGAGTTATCCTTGCTCTTGCCCCATAGAAGAATATAAAGTCCAACGATCACCACGAGAGATCCTATAACACTTTTCATTAGAGAAAGGAAAGAAGAAGATCGCATTAGATCATATATTATATAACCAAGATGGATATAGGTCGGTCCATTTACCCTATATAATATGGGCATTATACTATACGATATAGAATGTGTTAGGTACCTTCCTAAATAAAATTGTTCGTGAAGAAAGGAGAAGCTAAAGATGGCTGCAAACACTTGGATCAATGGGATGAAAGCAGAAGTGAAAACCGGACCCCTTTGCCGTAGACACCATGACATCGCGACGTAGCACAATCCCGATCCCGTTATCCCCTTCTCACGTCGAACATACAGAAAAATCCGATACGAATATATGTTATCTTTCGAGTTTATAACTCGATATAACTTTCTATATCATATATGATATAATATATAAGGGCGCTATATATTAACGTTACATATTTTTTTTTGTGTTTCTTCGTTCTGTACATCTTAATCTGTAGAAGTTAATTAGGACTTAAAACAATAAAATAGAAAATCTTAGGTTAGATTTTATACAATGTTACGATATCTATTATATACATGGATCGTTATATTTCAAGATCTTATGAAAAATATTTGAGGGGTCATGTTTTTTCAAGCGTTATTTGCAAGAAAAAACACATCAAAATAATCATTTAGAAAAAAAAAAAAAAGATTCAATACTCACTGAGTAAAGTAAAGCCAAGATTTGGAACCTCTCTTTAAGAATCCACATCTTCAAGCTCCTCTCCGAGATCAAACTCAATAGAGCAGACTGGATCGCACCGAAGAAAGAGAGGATCGTCGTGCTCGTGTATTGGCTTGGGAATTTCTGACTTATTTTCGCCTGGACTATGAACCATGATGACCACAAGGCTATTGCTACGATCAGCATGATCGATCCGAGCGTCCATTTGTGCACGGCATTAGGGGAAGCGGTTGAGGCGATTGCGTTTTGCGTTTGGAGGTTCTCCGTTAATTGCGTTCCTTTGTAAAATGTCAACAACAAAGCTCCACTTATGCAGACCATTGACCCTATCACCTTGGCTCTTCCCGCATTGTTCTTGATGTTCACCGTCTCTTGTCTACACACACACACATATATATATATATATATATAACACTATGAATATCCAAGAATATGTATGTATAACCTATAAGTTTATAACATATATCGACATAATTAGATTCATCTTATAAACTTTTTAAGCAACTTTGTTTTCTTCATGATATCTCTCTTAATCCAACTATATAACAAACCATGTTTTCAGAATTTCAAAATATATTAAAGGCCTCTAGTTCTTGTAACATCTAAGACAAATATAAATTATGTCGGATATATTCTAGTTTGAGACAATGAAACAAGAGAACTTAAAAATAACGGCTAGTCTCTAAAGATCGGTACAAACGAACAAACTATGTATATAGATAGATGCCTTCTATTACCTAAAGACGAGGGCGATCACGAAAGTGACGGAAGGAACCATGTTGCCAAAGGCTAAGGCGAAAGCCGAGGACGTATACTCTAGTCCAAGAAGAAAGAAATACTGAACAAGACTTGTCCTGTAAAAAAAGGAGTTAAATCCATTTTAGATATTTTGTAGGAAAGATTCGGCCCGTTCGTGTTTATTATATATTGTCTCGGTTCATCTTTTCGAGACAACGATTTTCGTGATTAAACTTTGACGATTTCAAGATAACTTGCGATTTTACGATCTCCACAAACGATAAGGATCCATAAGAAAAACTTACCCCAAAAGGGCACTTAGGAAGAGCAAGCACAAGACATTGGTGTTGAGCTTCGACCAGTTTTGTCTGCAAGAAAACATTAGAGTTAAATGAAGACCATTAACTAACACATAAATATATACAGTGTGTATATATATATATATATAGACACACGTGTATCAAAAGAAGTAACGTGTTTTATATTGTACCTTTCCAAGAGAACCGCAAAGGGTACCAAGAACACGGTGCCGGTGATCAACCTATACGTAGTAGCAACCATACGATTAATCCCTTCATTAAGCATTTTCTTGAACAACACATTCACCATGCCAAGCCCGAAGTTAACCATCGTCATTATAATCACAGCTTTCCACAGTTTTGAATCACACCTCATCGATCGTTATATGAACTATATATATATATATATATGTCAATGCCTATATATATACACACACGCACCCCGACGTGTATGTAGTTTTCAATGGGATTACAAAATATTTTGATGGGGTTGTGTGCTATATACATATAAATGTCAATGCCTATATCGATATATATATATATAGGCTTATGACCTAAATGTGGAGAAGAGAAAGGACAAATCTATTCCGGAATCATATCGTTGCGTTTTGTTTCTTGACTCATTCATTGTTCTTTACCACTTACTTAATCTTTCTTCTCTTTTGGAGTAAACTGTTATAATAAAGTGACATGATTAGTCCAAAAGATCATTGCTGTCATCATTATACGTGACGTCATTAACCAATAACACAGTTTCCAAGTGTAATTAGCAAAAAAAAAAATTATTGGTATGTCAGCGAAAATTAAAGTGGAAATCGGTTTTGTAAGGAAATACGTAACAACAAAACAAATATGATTTTATATATGCAAGAAGGATTTTTTTCATCAAAATGTTTGCTTTGTTTGTAAGACATGATCTTGGAACAAAAAATAAAAATATTGTATTAAGCCAAAATTTATGCTTTCATAAATTGTGATTTAGTCTAATTATATATATATATATATATATATTGTGTAGGTAGAGCGAGTACAAACTAATGCTGAATGTTGGATTTGGTTCTCAATTATTGCAGAGTTATACTAATTATTTTTTTTTTTGGACAAATAGCATGCATGCATGTTGAAGTTTTAAAAAGTTATCAAAATAAAAGAAAAGAGAAAGATATTAGGTAGTTTAATTCTGTTTTAATACTTGGCATAATCTAATTAATTTGCAGGAAATCGCAAACACCCATTGGAGCTAATCGCTGCAAGAATATATCTAAAAAAAGATCTGAAACGACACACCGAGTGGCATCTAATACTTTCCTTTTTTTGTCTGAAAAAAAAACATGTGAAAGAGATATTAATTAAATAATAATAATAAAAAGATGGTGAGGAATTTTCAAATATGTGTAATGTTAATGGAGGAGGGAACAATGCGTCAAATCTTGTCATGGAAATGGGTCTATGTGTTAGGTTTTTGTAATGAGATGCTTAACCTAAGTATATTTCAATTGTTTATTTAAATGTGTTTCCTTTACGTTTTTATGGAATGTGAAATTAATCTGCTTTTTTTTTCTTCCCAAATTGCGTTTGCTTGATGAGAAGTATATGCTTATTGCCTTTGTTGGATCATATTCTTAGCAATAGCATATTTCATCACAAAGAATATGTTAGAAGCCTTTTTTTGTTCAAAATTTTAGTTTTACGAGAACTAACTATTACGTGGAAATAATAAATAGAACAAACACTACAAAAAAATATGTCATTAGCAACGAAATGCATTTCGCAAAATTAGAACGAAATTGCAACGTTTTTTAATGAAAACGATTTTGTAACGCTTTAACAATTTTTCGTTGCAATGTGTTGCAAAATCGTTGCAAAATTTTTTTATTGCAATTAACAACGCTTTGCAACGCAATATTTGCGTTGCTAATTTGCAACGCAATATTTGCGTTGCAAAGCGTTGCAAAATCGTTGCAAAATTATTTCTTTGAAATCAACAACGATTAGCAACGAATTTCCTTTTGCAACGCTTTGCAACGCAATAATTTCGTTGCAAAAATTATTATTTAATAATTAATATGATTTGACCGTAAAAAAGTAAATATATAAATTTGCAACGCAATTTCGTTGCTAATTGGATTTGCAACGCAATTTCGTTGCTAATTTCGTTGCTCCAATTAGCAACGAAATTGCGTTGCAAATTTAAAATAAATTTGTGGCTTGGTTTTCACGCCTTTTGCAATGAAATTTCGTTGCTAATTGGATTTGCAACGCAATTTCGTTGCAAAAAATTGCGTTGCAATGTTTTTCTATATATTCAACATCCAAACACATTCCAAACACAATCCATCAACAATTTATCACTCTAAAAATTATCTAAAACCTCTCTCTATCCTCAACTCTTAAAAAAAGTCAAATAAAAATATATTTTATTATTTTTATTAAATATATTTTAGTTATATTTTTTATAAAATTTTAATGAAAAATGTGATATACAAATATATATATATATATATATATATATTTATTTATTATCTTCATTTAATATTTATATTATTTTTATTTAATATTTATATTTATTAATATTTTTTAATTAATTATTTTTTAAATTTTAATTTAATTCTTCTAAAAAACTTGAAATTCTAAATTATTTTTTTTATTTTTATATTAATTTTTGCAACGACATTGCGTTGCAAAATTAGCAACACAATTTCGTTGCAAAATTAGCAACGCATTTTGCAACGAAATAATTACGTTGCAAAACGTTGCAATTTGCAACGAATAGAAACGCTATATTAGTTTGCAACGATGAGTTAGCAACGAAAATTTTTTCATTGCAATTTCGTTGCAAACTCTGTTTTGCAACGAAATTTGTAGGTTTGCAACGAAAAATTTTCGTTGTTAAAAAACTGTTTTTTTGTAATGAAAGTAATATGTGTTCTTTTGGGTTTTAATTTTTAAATGGAGATTAGAACGTTTAATGATCGCAATGTGACGTCTGCAAGTGTAACGGCAATAAGATGTTGATGGTAAACAAATAATAAATTAATTTGTTTATTTGAATTTATTAAGAAATAGTTAGGAGTGAATATTCATTATATTATTTGAATTTAGCTGGTTATTTTTTAATAAAAAACTTTAAACTGTAATATTTACATTTTAAAAAATCATATATTTTAAACTATTATAAAAAAAATCATAAACTATAATAATTACACTAAAACATTCTCTACTCCACTTCAAACTCATTATAAAAATTTAAAAGGCCTAAACTATTATATTTCACATACAAAAACTATTACACTTATATAAAAATATCACACCATAAATTATTTATGAAAAACTATCATAGTTACATAAAAAAAACAACTTTACACTTTTAAATCAGTTATAACTTATTTTTAATTTTGTATTTGATTTTATATTTCTGAAGATAGATTAAAAAAAATAGTAAATTAAATAACAGATCAATTGCATTTTGTTGATTCATTAGAATTGTATAATAAAAAATGTTTCTTACTAAAAATATATGATTCCTAAAAACGATTTCTTTATATTTGATCATATAAATTTATTAACATTTTTTAAAAAATTCTCCTTTTATTTTTTTTTGTGGGTCATTTTTTTTCCTTAGATTGATTCGAGTCCCCACGGAGAAGGTTTTTTTTTGGGTTTAGGGGGGAATTTTGACCAATCTGTGATATTGAATTTACAAGTATATGACATAATTGCGAGATTCAGTCAAAATATAAATTACCCTTCGGTAGTAAACAGAAATCGATTAGTATTTACGTTTGGAATTTCCAAAACCGATGGATGTCCAAATGGTTTCCAAGACTTTCACTTGAATCATAGACGCCATTTCCCCATATTATCTCATCTTCAGAATCTACTTCTATTATGAGTCGTACATTGTGAACATGCAATGGTTAAACGGACAAACAAACACTAACCGCAAACCCGAATTCCGAAATGCCCAGCATCGGCATTTTCCGAAAAGCCGAAGAGGAAATCAAAGACCTATATAATCACACACGAAGTCGGTTTTCTGAAGAGAGAAGACTGTTGTTTCCGTCTATACAATCATACCTCAAGCTTCCTGAATCCAAGATGAAAGCTCGGGTGAAAATCTTCGTTCTAGAAGACTCTCTAGCCCGGAAAAAAACCCTACGAAGATTCGTCACAAATAGCTCTCTACTTACACATCTCTGCCTTGGAAAGATTTCTGTGGCGAATTACAGGCTGAGAGGTTATTTGCCATGTCGTTGAATCGGTATAAAACTCTATAATGATTCCTTATCGTAAAAGGCTAGAAGCTGTTTCACATGATTATGCCAAGTCGTGACGTTTTGCCCATCTACTGCCACCCAGTTAACAACAGTTGCCGCTGGCTGTTCCCACCATTCATCCAGCTGCATCAGGATATGTTAAAACAAGCTTCATCAGGAAATGACAGGAGAGCGCGAAGATAACAAAGCAACTGAAATTTTACTACTATAACTAAATTACGAGATTGTCTGTTCTTGTCCCTGCTATTGGCAGATCGAAACCTGACCCAGTTTCTGATACAGAAGTATAAGCTTGAGGAGCAACTAATGTAGAAAAAGCTCTTATGCCTCTAAATCAACGATAAGTATATTCTAAGAACATCAGACCGAAGCACAAGTTGTTAAACAGACCATTACGAGTATATATAACACCAAGTAGATACTAGAACCCATATATTCACTACTCCAATTCCAATAAACCTAGGAAAAATGGCATGAGAATCGTGTGTTATAGCAAGCAATCAGTTCCATGTGACTATGTCTAAATCCATCATCCATATCATACAGCAGGGATGACTCGAGCAGGGTTAAAATGACATCCATACCAGACCCCTCACGTATTTGCAGTGTTCCAAGGATGCTTGAGCATTTAAGACTGCAGACTTGAGTTCTGGCAACCATTTCTCCGTTATTGTTTTGTCTTGTTCAGCAGCCAGATCTAGGCAATACTTGGTTGTCCTGAAATTAGTTTAAAAAAAATAATGCATCAGAAGAAAATCAATGCAGTCATAGTTAACTTAAAACCGGAAAGAAATGGCAGATCTAAAGAAGATAATAGGGTGCACCACCCGTATAAAAGAATACAGTTGGTCAGGCTTAACCTTTCATATCCTTGCTGAGCACGATACGCATGGTCTAATAAAGCATGGCCACTTTCAACAAGATCCTGTCGTATATGGACCAAGTTGATTGCCTTTGCCAAATCTTCCAAAATACATGCCTCTGAACCACGGAGCTTCAGACAGAACTCAAGAGACTCTAAAACTGATCCCAAACTTGAATCTGAACCCTCCAATCCTGTTTAAGCAGCAAGAAAATATCGAATATAACAAATCCTATAAAGAAACCGTGTCAATTGCGTTCATCACTTCTAACTATTGTGAGTTCCAGAAAATTTATTAAACAGAGGTTCATTTTCCTTGCACTCATTCACACAGTTCTATTAGATCCTGCAGAGATCCGCAGCTGGTCCAGAACGCAGATGATGATTGGGAATAGCGTTATACAGCCCATAAACTATTTGGGTTTCTCACCTTGTCCCAAACTATGCAGCTGAACCTCGGATGCAAAAACAAAAATCTTGACTTCTTAGTTTGGTCTGTTTTGGTGTTGCATTGTTTTAGCAACACCTCCACAGCAAAATACAAGAGATTGTAATTCATAATAGAAATCCGAGGAGCGTCATGCGCTTTGGTAATCAACAATATCTATTGTTCATCTCACCAGTCTCTCACAAGGGTTCATAATTCATCGCCCAATAAAAAAAAAGGTAAGCTCACCCGCGGGATATTGAAGGGCAGCAGAGATGCGACATATAGATGGAATTGCTGATGGATCTCTTGCACCAGCTCTTGCTGTCAACATAGCAGCATTTTTCTCCGCAGAGGCAAGAGCTTCAGGCCCATTCGATCCATTAGCACCCATAGACTCCAGAAGTGCCTGATAAAAAGAAAGTTCAAAATAATTGAATAAAACTGAGGCATCTGCACATAATTTTGGAGGGAAAAAAATACAAAGTTTTGGACTCTTGTGATCAAGAATTCCATTACACCAATGAAACCAACAAATATGCTTCTTGAAGACTGAAACTACAAATGCTACAGTCCAAGATTGTTTGATTTGTAACTTGTAAGCCCAAATAGCCCACATAAATAATTTAAAGTTTCCTGTATGCAACATATTTTGTTTCAGTATTTTCCAACAAACCTTGCGCAAATATATCTTAACCAACTAACTGCAAAGCATATAGATGCAAAACGATATGGAGAGGGAAAAATACAGCTAATACCATTATGAGCTTACAAACCTGCCCGGTTGCTGGAAGCATATAGAGGGTGTTATCAGGACTTCGGAAAAAAGCAGAAACTTCTTTCTCAATGAAATATTTAGCACTGTTTGAAATGTCTGCAACAACCTCACAAGCTGGTATTATTGTGGCTGATGCATATTCCCTTGAAGCTAGTGGTTGCTGATTCCAGAATGCAGCAGCATCCTAAAAGAGAAATGAAGATACAGAGTAGTCTTAATTGTAATTATTTCATTTAATGCAAGCACAAAACAAGTTTCATGATTACCATGTTTGCCTTTAGAAGAGTAGTGTATATGGTCTCAAGTTCGGATCTGCGTGCATCAAACTCTTCAATTTTCTTCCACTTCTTTTTCAAAGAGTCTTCAGCTTCTTTCCTTTCAGCACATAATTTATTTAGCCGTTGTATTTCAGACATCAATGTGTTTAAGCTAGCTTTCAATCCAGCAGCTTCTCGCTCCTTGGCCCAAACTTCCAACTACAAAATCAAGCATATATATCAGCATGTGTAATAAAACAAAATTGGACACTAGTGATAACTGAACATCAGTATCGTTATCGACAACTTAAGGAAATATAGTTATCATGTTAAGCGTAAAGAATACACCCGTTTTAATAATGTCATCTCTCAGAGGAATGAAGCTGAGAAAAAAGTATTACAGATAGTTGGATGACAATGAATGTTAAAGTAAAAGGACAGAATCAAGGAAGCTGAAGAAGATCGGGCAATTACCTCAAACTGCCTAAGATTGCCTACATTCTGGGATGTGCCTCCAGAAAGTGAATGTGAAGAAGCAGTGTCAGCAGCACTCCCGTACAAGCGCTTTAGAAGTTTCTGACTTGTGTCCCTTGCTTCAGCGGCTTTGTTTACTGCATCTTCAGTAGCCAAAAATTGTTGAACATGTGCTTTCTGGAAAAAGCCAGCATACAATATCATATAAGTGGAATGCAAAAGCACCTAAACCAGCATTAACCAGATAAGGAAATCTACCTGTCTTTCAAGGAGCTGGTTATTAGATCCTTTGGAATGGGTATCTGTGCCTATCTTCCCATAACCATTGAATTGATAACTTAACGGAGAACTCACATCAGAAGAAGAGATGTCTGTTACCCGGTTATTCTCATATTTATACCTGTATAATCAGTTGACATCAAATAAATTCGGTCTGCAAGATCAATACCCTCGACAAAGAACAAGAAAAAGAAAGGTGAGACATTGCATTCAGAGAACAAAAAAAAAGAAGAGACAGAAATTGAGAAGACAGACATCCAAATAGACCAGACCACTCAAGTGAAGGCCAACTCATATATACCAGATCAGGCACATTAAAAGCTAAAACATAGTCCAGAAAAGAGTGAGAACAGCATGCAAGGTGCATTCAAGTGAATGGCACCAGCAGAAGCGGAAGTGCACAAACAGAGAGGTGCAAGAAGGAAATGAGAGAGACACCTTAATATTTCAGCATCAGCTCGAGCATCAATCTTCTCTATTTCTCTGGATATCAATGTCTTAAGGCGTAAGGTATACACAGCAATAGCCTGAAGCAGTACAGGAGGACTCCGCAGGCAATTCGCAATAACAGTTCTCATTTCATCAAAAATTTCTCCATTATATTCAAACCCCAACTTTGTAGCTTCCATCTCAGGATGCGAATGAATTCCATTTCCTTCATAAGCAGGAAAGGAGTTACGTATTCTTTCAATCATGTATGATGCAAGAGATTCACAAGCTTTCCTGATATTTCGTTCTTGGGCTGTTTCAATGAGAATGACGTCATCTGCAGACTTACTTCCTTTGACAGTGGAATAAACAGCTTCCCTCACACTGTTAGTACTGAGGCTGCTTGATACATCGGTAGAAGAATCAACACATGACCGTTGAGCATCCCTTGCTTGGTTAACATAGACTTGTAGCCTTTTGTGATACTCAGCGAATATTCTTGCTGCTTCATCACATTGTTGATCATAGGCTTCCAACATTACTTGTTTATGCCTGTAAAGCAAAAGAAACTCTTACTGTAATTCCAAAAATCTACTGAAGATAACAGTTTCAACGCATTTTTTCTTATTGCTATCCAAATAATGTTTTTTTTTTAAATCTTGGAGACAGATGAACATTAACATCAACCAAGTTTAGATAGAAACTTATGAATGTGATTGTTGGAAATGTGAAAGCATTCATCAAGTCAAAGGAACAAATACCTCAATAAAACTTGAGATATCATATGTTCCACCCTAGAGCTACCGATTCACAATACAATGAGCGCATAATCAGACATGAATACTTTGGGTAAATGTAAAAATCCAACAAAGTATAAATAATTGGCAGAATCCGCTCAAGTGAAAATTAGGAATATTCTAACCAGATCAGCTTGATACATGCAGAAAACTCTTCTTACAACCATTTTGCTGAGGGCAAGACACTGATGCTAACACCGCAAACTATATGATCAGAAAGCAGTAAAAGATCATAGTCAGAAAAACACAAAGCAATTCGAATAAAGATGCAAGTCAAACCTATAATTCGCCCTCTCATCAAGCATCCTCTTTCGTTCTGCTTCTTCTCTGGAGACTTCACACATTCTAGCCTTCAGATCCTTTCTTTGTCTCCTCACAATATTCCTCAATCTCTCCACCTCCTTCGCGGCCATTTCCCTCTCCTGCAATGCAGCTTCTCTGCTCTCTGCTGCTCTCGAACTCTCCTCAGCCACTGCTTTCTCCTTCCGCCTTCCTTTACTCCTACCCTCCTCCTTCCCAGTATTTACATTACTAACATTACTATCCATGCTAGTGTTGCCACTGCCACCATGAACTGTAATATTCATCCTAATGTTCGCCACAGTCTTCTCCGATTTCACTCGATTTATCAAGAAATTCCAGATGGGTATCATGTTCCCTCTGCAAATCTTTCTTATCGCATCTACAGAAGGCACGTGGGATTTGCTTGATGCACTGTAAGGGCCTAAAGGTCGATAACCCATTTCCTTCTGCAGCCATACTTGTATCGCCTCCGGTGTCGGAGCCGGAGCCGAGGTCGATGCGCTCTGCATTCTCTAGAACTAGATAATTCACCAACCCTTCTTCACATCCCCAGGATCCCTTCACTTATATCCCACATTCGATCTTCCACAGAAGCAGATGCCCTCGAATTTGCAACTAATTAAGTTCAATCCGAAACAACAAGAGCAGAGAGGAACTTCTAAATACCTAGGTTACACAAAATGAACAACATAGCCCGACATGTATCCGCATTACTCGGAAAAAACCTAGGATTTTCGAACTATCGCCAAAATTTTTATCTATCTCCAATTCTGGGGGAAAAAAAAGATAGGAATATATACACGCATTAACCCTCTAAATCTCGCACGACGGAGCAAGCACTGAAAACGACAGAATCCTCAGAGAAACAAGTAAACAAACAGATCTGATAACCAAGAAAATCGAAACCTCCGGCGCCGGAGACAGGAAGAAGATAACAATGAGAGAGAGGGGGAGGGGTCCCGCTCCTTTCTTTGCTTTGCGATCGAAGGGAAGAGCAACTGAGAAAATTGCGTAGAAGTCTCAGCAAAGTCACGTGAGAATTCAAAAAAGTTTTTATTAAAAAAAAAACTTTTCGGGTCGGGTAGTAGAACCGGGTCGCGACCCCTTATTATTAGGGTCCAAAATAAAAATCAGAAACATATGGGTGAATTGTACAAATACGTAAATGCATAGGGACGGTAAAGGAAATATTACATTCTTTTTCCTGTTAAACTTTAAATTTCGACCAAAACTATATTATTATAGAGGGAGAAGACAAACGAGGGAGGGTAGAAAACCTACCTTGACAACGTTTTAACACACACCACATGCCATAAATACCAAAACCGGATCTATTATTCGGTTTTTGGTTCGGTTTAGTCAAAAACCAAATATCCATCAACAATACATCTATCATATATCCGAGATAAACCGAGATGGTATGCGATAACAAAAGAAAATTATATTTTGATGACGTATTCTCTATTCTTCGGAGCATCGGGGCATCCAGTGAGGCAAAGTTGTATTTGTCGGAGAACCGGGTCGCGACCCCTTATTATTAGGGTCCAAAATAAAAATCAGAAACATATGGGTGAATTGTACAAATACGTAAATGCATAGGGACGGTAAAGGAAATATTACATTCTTTTTCCTGTTAAACTTTAAATTTCGACCAAAACTATATTATTATAGAGGGAGAAGACAAACGAGGGAGGGTAGAAAACCTACCTTGACAACGTTTTAACACACACCACATGCCATAAATACCAAAACCGGATCTATTATTCGGTTTTTGGTTCGGTTTAGTCAAAAACCAAATATCCATCAACAATACATCTATCATATATCCGAGATAAACCGAGATGGTATGCGATAACAAAAGAAAATTATATTTTGATGACGTATTCTCTATTCTTCGGAGCATCGGGGCATCCAGTGAGGCAAAGTTGTATTTGTCGGTGGCCGGATTAGGGTCCCGCCGTCAGCTTCTCCGGCTTCCCTGCCTCTACATATAATTCAACATAGATACGTACACACATACATACGAAATCACAATGAGAATCAAAGACGCTTCTTGGTATACCAAAAAAATAAAAATAAAAAAAGTAAATAACATTTCCATGTATAAGAATATATGCTCGTGTCAGAACAAATTGCATCACCGGCTGTATCAAATGTTTCATAATATAAAGTCATGACCCACGTTAAATTTCAGCTATAACGACACTAGGTGATCAATAAACCAAGGGTTTTTCATTTTGCTAATTGATCAAATACCTTCATATATAGGATCTCACTTACACATGAAATATCAATACCTTGTATATATATATATATATATATATATATTCATCAAGAATCAATATGTATAGTCCATCTAATCAATATAAACAAAAGAGTGAGACAATATTCAAAACCAAAATGATATAGGTGAGACAAGAGGAACATATAATAGTACCCAAGAAGAGATGGAGGCGGCCGAGGGGACGCAAAGGATGATGAGTTTTGCCGCTCTAAGTCTCGAGTTCGATCGATCTCCCTCACCTCCTTACTCTCGTCAAGCTGTTTTGTATTGCAAGACGTTCGATATATATCATCGTATACAATAACATAGGTTATCCAATAATGTCGTAAGAGCCGTGGTTGTGAAATTTATCGGTTTACCTTCTTCCTTAGTTGATTCCGCAGTTCCTTTAGTTCCTTTTCCTATACGTACAATACAATCAAAAGTACCATTATACACTTGCCAATGTACCGTATAAATACGTAGACTATGAGCTGATTCATGTGTAGAGTGCATGCACATGATCATGAGCGCATCTTACCTTCTTCTGGAGTTGCGCTATGGATTCCAGCATGAGCTGATTCTGCACTTCCAAACAAGAAACCGGCATGATATAGGCGTGTATATATATATACATACACGCATGTATATTTGCATCAGTCAGGGACTGTTGTAACACCGGTATTAATTTTTGTTAAGATAATATAATCACATTAAACAAAAAAAAAAAGATATCGGGAGGAGTATTGCAATGCACAGACATAAGTGTATATATGTAGTTACCACCATGACATGAAACAAGTTAGATTGGTGTGGACGAATTATAAACCACCATATCTTTTTATACTCGTAGATGAAATATATATATATATTCATTCATATTTTATGGTAATATTCTTTGAATCAGTGTGTGAATTAAACCTACACAAGGGTAAGTGTAAACTAACACATATATACACAACCAAGCACGTACATGCATCTATCCATTTCTTAAAACTAGAAGAATTATGTCTTTGAATTTTGACATATTTTTTTTATATATAACCATCATAACTATATATATTGATTAAATTAATTAAGTATATATATGTTAAACCTAATTTATGTGGTAGTTTAAATAAAATTTGTGAAACTAAATAATTAAGAAAAAAACAAAAAGAAACCTTTCTTGTGCGAGTTTTCTTGAGGGCAGTGTCAAGTTGCATCTCCAAACTCTGAAGCTCTCTTAGACTTAACGCATCCAACTCTTCCCCTTTCAAGTGCCTATATATTTATATATACAAGTGACTAATTAACGTCCAAAAATTTTATAAATGTTAATATAATGTAGCATGATGATGGTTATGCATGTAGATTAAGTTAGCTTACAACCTTAAGCTCCTCTGCAAAACATCAATCATCCTCAAGAGCTTTGAGCATTCCGTTGAACAATTGCCCTAAAACGACAACAAAAAGATCAAATAATGATTAGTAGATCACTAATTACAAACACAAACCACACCCACCGCGTTTGATTAGCGAGTTAATCTCTCGGTCTGATTCTATTGCAAGTACCTGTGGATCTGAACTCGGTGGAGGAAGTTCTTGGCTCGAGTATGAGCATCTCTCGTATCGATCGAGTATCTTCTCCATGCTATCATCATTATGTGAAACTCGAATATAAGAATGACCCCATGACGAATTTGAACAATGCAGAGAAACTTACACTACCATACTATATATATATATATAGTCGTTTTGTAGAGAAACTTACGGCGCCGAACATTTCGTGAACATTTCGTACATCCGAGACCGCGAGAAAAAAAAAAAGATGTTTTCGTATAGAAACAGGAGAAACCGAATGTTTTGTGTTGTGCCATACCATACAACTTTCTTCAAAGGTGTATACTGTGTGGTTTAGTGATCTATATGCATTGTATAAACCAAAGATATCATAGAGAAATGCATTGGAATCCTCATTATTCACTGCAAAAGATTCTAAATATTTGAAATATAAAAAATAAAATCAAATCTAATATTATATATGTTAGTCAAGAAAACTCTTTTGCAGCAATTTCACAGTGAAAATACCGTAAACCTCTCTCCATAGGCTATGAGAATCTAGTAGTTAACCAACGCATATATTAATTTTGGTTATGTCTTTTTCAGTTTCCCACGACAAGTTTCCATATATATACACACATATATACATATATATATATATATATATATCGATTTTTATGTTGCAATGACGCATTCATGCCGAGGTTAATCCTAGGTTCGAATAACTAAGCTCACAGGCACAAAGCTCTATGACTAGACATGCCTCCAATCCAACCAGATTTTGTCATATATGCCTTAATTAACGGTCCAAAACTATTTCAATCCTTCTTCTACAAGTAGTGTATAAGCATATGATTGGTATATATATATATATAGCTCAACTCGTACTATATAATATATATAGCAGGTCATGTCTTTTCTGCTGTAGAAATAGAAGTAGAATGGTGGAATATAAAACTAAATTGTGTAAATGATAGATAATTGAATTTAACAAAAAAAAAAGATAGATAATTGAGTTCTATTTTAACAGGTGTTGAAAGAATCTGTATTATGTTATATTTATAGAATATATGTATATAATTTTAAAAAAAATTTCATGAATTTACAAAGTAGAGCAAATTGATATAAAAAAGTTTCAAATCAAAAGATTGCATATGCATTATAAAATTGATATCTAAAATATTGTAAGACTACTGTTTTTTCATTTTCTCTAACTGTGGATCTTGACGACTCAAATATTGACCACAATCATATAATCCAATGTTTTCATACCCCGTCCTCTAATGTTTCTGTGTATATCTCTTGCTCTCAAACTGACATTTCTTGAAAGAGATCATCTATGTATATACATTATCTCTATGATTCCATGTAGTCGTATCTATATGTATGTAAACTTAGCTTCAGCTTCCATTATATATTGGGTCATCATCATCATCATCATCATCATCATCATCATCATCATCATCGTCATCATCATCATCATCTAAACTAACTATTTTCTAATAACATATATTGATATGATATGTATAGCTATAATCTAATGAGATCTTTTTGCCTCACAAATCTTGATAGCATAATTCATGCTTAATCCCTCATTTCCAACACACACACACATATACACATGTATTACACAACTATATATGTCTATATGTACATTATTCAGAAATTGTTCAACTATTTGAGCAAACCCTCAACCAAATCAGCATCAAGGTCGATGAGTTGAAAAAAAAAATCGAGTTCCCAAATCTATTAAACATGAAATATTATATGTATGAACCCCCAAACGACTAATCAAATGATGTAATAAGATGCGAAATTAACGCGTGCGGAAAGAGAAATCAGAGGCAGAAATCGAGACCTTGAACCGGCGGAATACTCAAAGAGCTTGCCTTTGGGCGAGAAAATAATCAAAGCTACTTCCGCATCACATAACACCGAGATCTCTTGAGCTTTCTTTACTAAACCGGTTCTCCGCTTGGAGAAGGTTACTTGCCTCCTTATCTTGTTCTCGATCCGCCTAAGCTGAACCCTCCCCCTTCCCATTCTTAGATTTTCTCGGCAACCAAACAGAAAAAACACGATACACCCTTGAGAAAGGAGAAACCCTAATTTCTCTCTCTTGAAGGGTATCTAGAAAAGGATGAAGGAGAAGACCGGAGCTAGAATAAGATGAGAAATGAGGTATGAAGGTTTACGGGAAGATATATTTTGATATATATATATATATACACACACACTTGCATTTCTATGGAGGAAAAATAAAAAGAGAAAGTATCAAATGATACAATTAGGGAAAGTGGAAGCAGAGAAACAGATATTTCTGTCTATGTGTCCGAAATAGTCTTGGCGACTATAGTTATTATTCAACAAAATAATTAATTACATCTAATCGGTCTTTGTTGTACGCAGATTGGTGGGTTTAAATTCAATATTCAGTAATTATCGTATTATGTGTATCATTTACAAATGCCGCGGTGTCATTGGTTCTACTGGCCACATGGCATAAAATATAAGAATTAGATAACAAGATATATTAAAATATTAATAAATTTGTTGGCCAGCCCATATATGTTAACTATCACATTAATAATGACTACTATATATGTATCTTAACATAAAAACTCAAGCGAGAAAAAAGATGCACAATTCTAGATAATGATGATGATACCGCCTTGTTAATTTATACAAAATGTAAAATAATATTAAAAGTATATTTTTTTTTATAATTCAATCGTTATTACGACAAATAATTTTTTTAGTTAGTTGAGATCAAATGGATTAATGGAGTAATTAATTCATACACCATATGCAAGAAACTTGTAATTAAAAAAAAGGACATGATTAAATACGAGTTCAAAGATTCAAACCAAAAGAAGGGATCAAAACGAAGAAATTACAAAACCTAATATTAAGTTTTTTTTTGGTAAAACCTAATATTAAGTTGCAAATAAAAACAAAGGCAATATAGGCTTTTCAAATTATTCATAGAGATCTTTTGTACTTCCAAATATAGTTCATGAACAACCAGGTAAATAAATACAAACCCTAAGAGTGTGTATACGTATGTATATTTATGTTCTTGAAAACGATTTAGATGGCGACGCTGGGCCATTCCATCAATATTTTCTTTATTAATCTTAGTTTCATTATCATTTTGGAATTAATAACACTATTAATCGTATAACGATGCCATTTTGGTATCTTAATTTGAAAAAAAAGGTTTTTTGTTATTTTAGATCTATCTTATTTATCTTATAATTCTTGTTAAAATTATAGTGTAATCTTTTTGGTCTTATAGAGTAATATGGAGAAGTATAATTAATTAGATAGTTACAGGATACTATTTTTCTAGTGATCATTAAATTTTTGGGTTATTTCTATTGATTTTTTGAGTAATTTATAGTTCCATTCTTTTAATAAATTTGAAATTTAATTCATATTTCATTATTTTTTATTATTACATTAAAATATATAAGTGTATACAATTTATTTGTTGATATACCACTTAGAATCGCTTAATCGTCAAGTATAGACTAGGTACAATGTCTGATTAGTGTCTAATATTTTTTAATATATATATATATATATTGTACTACAGGTACGCTCGAACTTGCAATCTTGTGATATGATCTGCAACTCGTCTCTCACTATCTCTCTCTCGAACCAGATTGCGTAATCAAGAACAACGAAGAACAGAGCACGAAAAGAAAGTACACACGCGTTTAACGAGTTCGGATTTGATCGGTGTGATCAATCCTACGTCTCGATGGGGGAGAGTTTTTATTGATTCAAGAGGAATTCGTTACAAGAACTAAAACTGGAAGAATGAACCAGAGATTCTGTTATATGCAGCAGCGAGAGACGATGATGACGTGTCAAATCTTTTCCCGCTTATACTGTTCACACACTCTAACTCATCCGGAGTCTTTCAATCGAGATTACCCAGGCATATCTCACGTGACAAAACTCCACCTTGCCTGTAATCGAGCCATCTTCAAATCACCGAGGCTCTGCTCCTTGCTCTCCCCCTTTATAGATACTACGTATCTGTTACACTGAGCAACTTCAGTAGTTTACTGAGTTTGCTCACCGGAATGGTTTTTGTAAACATATCCGCTGGATTGTCGTCTGTATGCACCTTCTGTACCAATACGTTTCCTTTTGCAATGATATCTCGGATAAAATGGAGCCTAACATCAATATGCTTGGTTCTTTCATGATGTACTGAGTTCTTTGACAGATCAATCGCACTTTGAGAATCTGACATAATCTTCACAACTTCTCCTGCGATACCCAGTTCTGTTACGAGGCCCCTGAGCCAGAGTCCTTCCTTCACTGCCTCAGTTAGAGCCATATACTCAGCCTCTGTTGTTGACAACGCCACGACATTCTGTAATCCAGATTTCCATGACACAACGTTTCCTCCAACCATGAACACGTATCCAGTAACAGATCTTCTCTTATCTAAGTCTGCCGCAAAATCTGAATCGCAGAAGCCCTTCACACTCATCGAGTCTGCTTTCTTGTATTTTAATCCATAACTCTGTGTTCCTTTTAAGTATCTCAAAACCCATTTCACAGATTCCCAATGCTCCTTCTCTGGTTTTGACATGAATCTGCTTATCACTCCCACTGGAAATGCCAGATCGGGACGTGTTCCGATCATTGCATACATTATGCTTCCAACTGCATTTGCGTATGGAATTGAGTCAGCAAACTTTTGATCAAAATCCTCCGGGTTTTTCGACGTACTCAGTTTAAAATGTGAGCCCAGGGGTGTCTGTACTGCCTTTGCTTCGCTCATATTAAACACTGAAATGACCTTTTGAACATACTCAGCTTGAGACAATACCAAGGTTCCTGTCAGCCTATTTCTCTGTACTGTCATTCCCAGCATTTTCTTAGCATGCCCAAGATCTTTCATCTCGAACTCAGATCCCAGAATCTGTTTCAGTTCTTGTATGGTGGACTTATCCTTAGCAGCTAATAGCATATCATCTACATATATCATCAAGTATGTCCATTTTCCTACTGAATCTGTTCTGTAATATACGCACGGATCATACCTGCTTTTCAGAAAACCTTGCTTCTGTATGAACTCATCAAATCTGATATTCCATCTTCGAGGGGATTGTTTTAAACCATAGAGTGATCTCTTTAATAGACAGACTTGGTTTTCTTTTCCTTTTTCTTTATGGCCTTCTGGTTGCTCCATCAGTATCTCCTCCTCTAGTGTACCATGGAGAAATGCTGTTTTCACATCCATTTGATCTAGTTCCAGGTCTTGATGTGTCACGATTGATAGTAGTACCCTTATGGATACGTGCTTGACGACAGGTGAGAATATCTCGGTGTAATCCACTCCTTCAATCTGTGAGAATCCTTTTGCGACGAGTCTGGCTTTGTATCTTGGCTTTTCTACTCCTGGAATCCCAGCCTTTAGCTTATAAACCCACTTACATCCTATCACCCTTTTATCTTTTGGTCTGTCTGTGAGTATCCAGGTCTGATTTTTCTTCAGGGAATCCATTTCCTCAGTCATGGCTTCCTTCCACTTCAACCAGTGTTTGTGATCTCTGGCTTCTTGATAGCATTGTGGCTCTTCCATCTCCAAAATTTGTGAAACCGAGTATGCATAAGCTACTGTTTCATCATCAGGGTCCCTGAACCTTACTGGAGGTTTTATATCTCTTCTTGTCCTATCACGTGCAAGGACATACTCAATTAATCTGTCTTGGAGCTCTTTTGGCACACTTCCATCTTTTGGAAACTCAGCCTCGATTTCTGAATCAGAAGGTTCTTCTCTTTCTTCCCTTTGTTCTTTCAAGGTTTCATGTTTGGAGGCTCCACCTTGTTGATTAATCGTGCATTGCTCTGAAGGTTTCTGTATTAGAGGCAGTTGGGCAAACTCTTTGTTTGGTTCAGCTGTCGATTTTTCCAAGTGGCTGATTGTTTTCTCCACTTCTCTGTACACCTTTTCTTCATCAAAACGTACATTTCTGCTTACCATCACTCTGTCTTCTTCTGGCAACCAGACTTTATAGCCTTTTGTTCCAGAGGGGTATCCAACAAAGTAACCCTTCTTTGCCCTTGGCAGTAACTTTCCTTGGTTCTCGTGTATATACGCAATGCTTCCAAATCTCCTGAGGTGGTTGTAACTTGTGTCCTTCCCAGACCAGATTTCGTTGGGAATCTTGAAGTTTATAGCGGTTGATGGTGATCTGTTGATTATATGGACACTAACGTAGGCTGCTTCTGCCCAGAATTGGTGTGGTAGGCCTGATTCTGATAGGACACAGCGTACTTTCTCCATTATAGTGCGATTCATCCGCTCAGCAACCCCATTCTGTTGTGGTACATGTTTTGTGTCTAAGGATTCCAGATTTCGCACAGTGATCATCAAATCTTTGGTTACAGAACTCTAACCCATTATCTGTCCGAAGTACCTTCAGTTTCTTCTCTGTTTGTCTTTCAACCAAGGTCTTCCATTCTACGAATCTTTCGAATGCTTCATCCTTCTTTCTGAGGAAATATATCCACACTCGTCTTGAATAATCATCAACAAATGATAGGAAATACTTGTAACCTGACATTGATGGAGTTACAGCGGGTGAGCCCCATAAGTCTGAGTGAACGTAGCCTAGAATGTCTTGTGTCTCGTGTTTTCCAGTTCCAAACACAAGTCTGTGAGATTTGCCTAGAATGCAGTATTCACACATCTTCAGTTCTCTCGCATCTGTATTGTCAATAACACCTTTCTTTGCCAAGATCTCCATTCCTTTGTGTGACATATGCCCAAGTCGACTATGCCATAGCTTTGTCTTATCCTGCAGGTTTTTGCTCACATTTGCCTTTCCTGTGGCGGTTTTTCCTTCGAGGATATACAGACCATTCTTTAGGGTTCCTTTTAAAACTGTTCTGCAACCCTTAATGACCTTTAGACACCCATCTTGTGATTTATACCAGCATCCATTGGTTTCCAGAGTGCCTAGAGAAATCAAGTTTGTTCTAAGAGATGGAACGTACTTGACTTGAGTTAAAATCACTTCAGATCCATTGTGAGTCTTCAGTCGTATGTTTCCTGTACCCAGGATCCGACAGACTGTGTCATTACCCATTTTTACTCCTCCATCTGATTTCTCTTCAAAATCAGAGAACCATTCCTTTTTAGGACA